CGGCAGTCTTGGAGGCCATAACCTTCCGTGACACATAGCTTCGTGATTTTGGGAGTTACCAATCCGGCAGTCTTGGAGGCCATAACCTTCCGTGACACATAGCTTCGTGATTCTGGGAGTTACCAATCCGGCAGTCTTGGAGGCCATAACCTTCCGTGACACATAGCTTCGTGATTTTGGGAGTTACCAATCCGGCAGTCTTGGAGGCCATAACCTTCCATGAGGCACTAGCACTTGTAGAGGACCTTTCTCTTAAGAACTTCATGGTGGCGTGTGATTGCAAACCAGTGATAGATGGCATACATGATGGAAAGGGGGAGCTTATTTGACAGTAATTAGAGAAATATCACTTCTTAGATCTAATTTTATTAGTTGTTTTATTTTTGAAAGTAGAGCATCAAATGTTGATGCACACAACTTTGCCAAACACTCTTTTTTGCTTGATCAGGGTCGCCACTTATGTCATTAACCCGCACTCATCTCACTGTCCAAATAGATCAATAAGGTGTTGGCACCCCTAGAAAAAAATTGAAGCAAGCTGATCCTAAATTTTTTCCACGATGTCCTCCTGCGCCAGCCGGCTACGGGCGGGCCCACCAGAGAGCAAGAGAGAGCCAGCCACCCCGGCAATCGTGACCCGCCACGTAGCCGCGCGTCACGAGCCGGGCCCATCAAACCGCCCCGCAACCGCGGCTGACCCGCCGACACGTCACGGCGCGTTGCATGCACACAATCACACGGAGCGCGGAAAGGCCGCGGTCGCCGTCGTCCTCGCCGCATGGAGCCCGCCCAAGAGAAGAACGCATACCCACCTGGCCGGCGCTCGCGATGGTCGTCGGGTGACGCCACCTCCCTTTTATATGTCCAGCCTCGCTCCCGTTGCTCGTCACACCACGTACGCAAGCTGCACACACCACGGCACCACGCATCAATTGATCGGCGTCGAGATGTACCAGGCGATCCCGTACAGCGCCGCCCGGCTGCCGGCGTGGTCGCGGCGGTCCGAGCCGGCCGAGGTCGTCGGCACGGCTGGTCAGGAGAATAGGCGAGCAGGCGATGGCGGGGAGGCGGTGAGGAGGGCGGTGGCGGAGAGCCCGGTGCTGGTGGTGGGGAGGCGCGGGTGCTGCCTCAGCCACGTGGTGGAGCGGCTGCTGCAGGGGCTCGGGGTGAACCCCGCCGTGCACGAGGTCGCCGACGAGGCCGAGCTCGCCGGGGCTCCCGGTGGCGAGGCCGTTTTCGCGCTGCCGGCCGTGTTCGTGGGCGGGAGGCTCCTCGGCGGGCTCGACCGGCTCATGGCCGTGCACATCTCCGGCGAGCTCGTGCCCATGCTCAAGGACGCCGGCGCGCTCTGGCTGTGAGACAAATCGGAGACGCATATACGGGACGGGCCTTCTGATTGGGAGTTCGTAGTTAGCAGTCTTTTCTCCCTGTTTTCATTTCTCCTTTTGACTCTTGGGATCAATCAGTAATGGTGATGCTATTAGGGATAGTTAGCTAGTCGATGATAATTTTAAATTATTTCAAGTGAATTTAGTTTCGACCACACACGCCTGTAAATAGATCGACGAGTGAAGATAGATGTACTGTACTGGAGTATTTAGCACTGTATGTAAATGATGTTCGTTCCAATTGTACAGCAGCTAGCTTTGCATGGTTCTCTGGATGTTTTCATGAAACGGCACTGTGTCGGATATTCTGATCGTGTTGACAAGAGAAACCTCCTCCCAAAAATTAGCTGAACAATTTCTCTTCTGTTTAATTAATCGACGAGGCAAATCTCTTGCCTTCGTTTTTGAAAAAGCAAAAACCGAGCTCATCATGCGAACTTGAGCCCAGGCAAAGTAAACGTTTAACATGGAAATCTCCCAGCAGCACCACTGTCTGTTTTCCTATGGCTTCAACATTGATTTCCCTGTTATGCGCTCTTGAGGGCACTGCGTGTCACCAATCAAGATGGAGCAGTAGTACAAATATGAAATGAGCGTTGACTATCTCCATACGTACGTTGAATAACTACCCATTGCTGATGCATGCTCAAATGTCATTCAGCTAAAAAAGAATTACTGCAGTTAGCACGTCAAGCTCAGCACAACTTGCACCAATTCAGTTGAGCTCAGCAGGGTGCCGAGTCCGTCTTAAACATAGGTATGACGAATGGAGGTCTGATCAAAGCACAGATGCGTAAAATGAAAGAAACATTGACTAATTGTGCATTGCTGACGCTGCATGCTTCGCGTTCCGATTGTAAACTTTCTATGAAGCGTCGTACCTGTTGAGACCGAGCCTGCGTGTTAATATAGGTCAGGGGCAAAACCCTGATTGCGTACAAAGAGTTCGGTTACAGGAGGTTTACATCTTGAAAGAGAAGAAAGGATCAGGAGATTACAACACTTAAAGAGAATCCTATCTATCTCTACTTGCGCTAACCTCTAGCCGAAGCGATATGGAACGTAACAACATATATGACGTGACAATATGTTGTTTAACACCGATAATGGGAATTCCACCTTTTCTTCTATTGGGAAAACGACGTGAGATAATGCTCTCGAGAGAATGCCCTCCAGGTAAAAAAAAAAGAGAGAGATACTCCAGTATGCTACTGCATGAGCTGGTGAAGTTGACACGTCGCGCTCAGACACAATTCGCCCAGATTCAGATGAGCTCAGCGACTCAAGACGCACAAGGGCATGTGCCAACGGTTGGTGAATTGTAAGGAGAAAGTGACGGTGAAAAAGATGGAACTGAAAGGGTCAAGAATTTCCAGAAGGTAGAGATCCCTTGTGCGAGCGAGTCTATGACCAGTGAAACGTGCGAGGGGAAGCCGTCCGATGACGCTTAAGGGCTGAAAAATGCACGCATGGCTTCAACATTCAGGCCAGTTGATTCTGATCGTTAGGTACATCTTATTTATTTTGTTCTTAATTCCGGTCGTACTGTAATCAAATTGTTTCTCGTGAAATTCTTGTAAAATTCTCGTGGATTTCCCAACCGCTAAATTATTTTGGATTTGTCTAAGACACATCTAGATGTGACATAGTTATGTCACATCTAAACTGATGTCCACTCTTTTTATGGTCTATTTTTTTGTCCTAGTTTTTTTTGTTTTTTGTTGCTGCATTATATATCTGTGGAAGTTTAGATGTAACATCCTTAAAAAAACATCTAGATGTGAATTAGTCAAACTGAATTATTTTCACCGCCTGAATTTCACCTGGAGGCGTGTTGATAAGGAGCTGGCATGACGCCTCCCAGAATTCAAGTCCATGTTCAGCACAATCAACCAAGAGCCGTGATCATCACATATCTAAAACGTGTAGAAGTAATCAGGTGATGACGACTCCAACAGCGCCTTGTGCCGCCTGCCTACGTGGGGCGACGAAGGCCACGGTACGACGATTGATCTGAGAGTGGGATGAACATCTGGATTCTGGAAGATCAGATCAGTTCCTGACATCAACAATGTTTGAACAAGTAGTCAGCTTAAGTGGTTGGATTATTTTCGCGGAGCTGCAAAAACTGAGCTCCACGACTCCACGGAGTCGGAGCGGTGAGAAGGGATCCCGAACAGAGCCTTACTTATGCTGCAGGCAAATGGTTTGCCGAGACGACTCCTGGATAGTCCATGTCACACCTTTGCGCATGTGGTGCTGAAAATACGCCATGGATCACTGCCCACGGTCTTCAGCCCATCCTAGTGGAAGGAAGATTTTGGCTAATTAGGACCTGGTATTTGCTAAGCAAAAATATGAAGCAAGAGAAACGAAACATTTCTGTTTACTAATTAAGCTACAACTAGGGAGATAATAAAACAAGCATTCAGGCTAATTTCTATACAAACTACAGTTAATTATATTAGGCTGCGGTGCTGTCCGAGCATCATCAAGTCCAGGGGAACGGACCTATTCGATTCCTTGTGCCAAACCCACTGGATGGAGTTCTGCTAACCTATCACAACTTTACCGTCAAAAAAAAAAAACCCTATCACAACTTGCTTTGGGGCACATAAGTTCATGATCCGTCCTGTAAACAAACTTTTCTCTGTTGCTTCTCGCCAGTTTGTGCATCACATGAAAGCCTAGGTTGAACGGTTTGTTTGGTTACTACTCCCTTCGACCAAAATAAGTGTTGCGACACTTATTATAGATCAAAGGAAGTACTAGATATTAAACTATTGGTCATGTCTCGAATATCCTATATATTCACATATATCATTAGCTCCTTCTTCATCTGCTCAACCTGCACATCAATGCCCTGCACAAGAACCTCGGATATGTTCCCGTCATCATCACAGAAGACCATCTTGACCTTGATCTCTTTTTTTTAGATTAACAGTACTTCATTGATTACTGAACATCACAGCAAAGATCGTCCCTGATACAATCCGGAACCACACCAAGATAAAAAAGATTAACAGAATGCTCACAACTACGAGAACATGTAAGAAAGAACATTGAGTAAACCCAGACGCGAGAGATTTGATGTCCGAGACAACAGTGCCCACTCTTGATCGATCTTGAGCCGGAGACTTGATTTTGTTCACCATGGAGAGGCAGTCAGATGCCAAAACAATTGACAAACAGCCTTCAGATCGACAAACCTCAAGAGCACGCTGGATGGCAAGCGCCTCAGCCATCTCCGGTTCAGAGAAGCCCTAAAGCTGCTCATTGCCAGCAAACATGCACTTCCCAAGATGATTCCTAGCCACAAAGCCCATGCCCATCTGTCGGATAGAAGGGAACAGCGCCGCATCAACATTCACAGCCACCACACCAGCAGGTGGCGGAGTCCAAATAAGAGTTGAAGAAGAAGACTCACGCCTGGGACCAGGTTTAGGCTTAGAACAATGCTGCAACACCATACGGACATAGGCACGAACTTTTAAAGCAGTTCTAGCAGGATGCACATTGGTACCATTATTACGTACCTCATTTCTAGCTTCCCAGATATGCCATAGAGTGATAGCCACAACAGTAGCTTGGAGCTTCGAAGCATGAGCCAGGAAATCGAACATCCATTGACGGCCATTAACCATGTCTTTTCTACACAGGCTGACACTGAACTCCTCTTTAACCCCTTTCCAAACGGAACGAGCGAAGGGACACAGCAGGAAGAGATGCTCCACACTCTCTGTCCGGTTGCAGAAAAAACAGCCATCATCAGCTGGAATGTGATGCCTCACCAGCTGGAAACCCGTAGGCAAACAATCATGCACGAAACGCCACAAAACAATCTTCATTTTGTTTGGACAAATGACTGACCAAAGGGCCTTCCACTCCTTTTTCTTGCACCTGAATATTGGAAGCCAGACCCTTGCCCTTTCCACTTGTAGAGGAGAAGAAGTTCTCACTACGAGTAAGATTATAGCCAGACTTGACCGAGTAGGTGCCAAGCTTGTCATGGGGCCACGACAGGAAGTCATCTCCCCCAAAACGACTTATGGGAACTTGTAGAATTTGTTCCGCAATAGGATCAGCAAAGAAGCTTTGCACAAGGTTTTCGTCCCAAGTCACCAATGATTCGGCCAACAAGATCTGATCTCTTGTGTTTCCTCGATGCTTTTGTCCAATAGCACACTCCCTTGGGACACCCATAAAAAAACACGGTTACCACATTTGTATTGTAAGTTTCATTCAAATTTTTGGCTAGTAGAGTGCATCTATCGCAGAGACATACTTCAAGGGGCTAGAGGTCATAAGCCAGAACCGGTTGTTGCCACTTTCCAAGACCGCGATCGACATTACAAGCCCAACGCTCCCCAAAACTAATGTACGTGAAGGTCTGCTTGCCATCATTGTTCCCTCAGAGCTGTTTGGAAACGTAAAATACGCTACCTCAGTTTACAATGCAATAATCCAACTCAGAAATAGTTTATAGATGTGAGTGGTGGCTTCGGGTGGCTTGATGTATGCTTTTGTTAAATCTTTGTGGAATAATTAATAAAGATGAATGTATGCACCGATTGATGCAGAGACCGGGGGTTCAACTTCCTTTTCAAAAAAAAAAAGTAGTTTCCACGCTACTAGAAAAAGGCTTATATCTCTACTAGTGGCGCACCACAATGATGGTGCGCCACTGCTATATAGCAGTGGCGCATCAGAATCAGGTGCGTCATTGCTATGTTTTTACTAATGACGCACTACATGAGCAATGCGCCATTGCTATTTTTTTGGTCCATCCCCCTCCCCATTAGACATAGCAATGGCACACCACAGCTATGCTACATAATAGTGGCGCACCTAGGTGTGGTGCGCCATTGCTATGTCTGGTGGGGGTGTGCCTGCGTGTGTGTGTGAGAGGGGTGCGCCATTACTAACGTCTCGCACACACAAACACACCCCCTGGATCGTCTTTTGTTTTTTTTAATAAAAGAAAATGATAAAAGATTCAAAAAATAGATGCCCATGTGTTATGTGTTCTAGTTGTTAGGAAAATTAACAAACATGAATTTTGGATTTTTTTGCAAAAGGCCGCCGTGTTTCGGTAAAATGGTCGTAACTTTTGCATACGACCTCCGATGAAAAAGTTTTTTATATGAAAAATCATCTACTCGAAATATTACATCCGAATTTGACGGGCTATGCCCGTATTCGATTTTCTAGAATCCTCAAAAACCTAACAGAAAAAAGTTACGAGGCTTTTAAGATCTGAAGGCAAAAAAATCGAAAAAATAAAAAAATTAGTAGTGGTGCACCATTAGTAATTTTCCCGCCTTCCAAATTCAAAAAAATAAACAAAGTTAGTAGTGGCGCACCATGGGTGTGGTGCGCCATTACTAGTTTCGAAATTTCAAAACTAGTAATGGCGCACCACACCCATGGTGCGCCACTACTAAGTCTGTAACGCCACAACCATTATATATATTACCTCTTCCTCCTCCCCTCCATCATTTCTTCCCTTTTCTACCTACCTGGATGAATTGCAAACATCCAGGAGGCCTCGTCTTCTTTGCGACAATCCCTTCCGAACAGTTCAAGGCAGCCAACAACACACCTTAGGGTCCACTGTCCACCATCATAGTTCTCAAGAGCCCAAACAGAGAGTTGGCAATCGTACATCCGCCAAGCATACAGGCATCCTTGGGACTGCCCAAAGGAAGGACCAAGATATATGTTTGTCATGGCAGGTGGCAATTTCATTTCCGCCACACATTTCCCTCCATGTTCACCGTGACTATTGAAAGGAAGTTACAAAAATAAAGGATAGTGCCATTCAAAAAGAAGCACCGTGGATTATTAACATAAGCATCCAACTGGCACCGGATGGAAGCCCATTCTCTAGTTTCTGATGAGTAGATCCATGTCATCGGCAGGCCGATGCCAAACACGGGCACAAACACCACAAAGCGTGATGGAACGGCTGGATCAGAACCCAAAAAGTAGTGGCCTGTGATGGCACGGAAAAGGTCATCATCTGCCTGCTTCTGGTTGTGCAATTCTACAGGAGGAACAGGAGGCAGCAAAGCCCACTGCCGAGTAGCAGGATTGCAGACGACATAATTCCCCATCTGAAGCGCTCAACAACCCTGCCTTTCGGAAACGAATTCCAACCGAGTAGCTTAGGATGGGGTGCTTTCCAGCATCTGCAGAGGAGAAGGCTGGTGCTGCATTGTTCGACCTCAAAGTGTCCGTAGGTGCCGCGCAAGAAAGGGAGGTCGGGGTCGACCATGGGAGGGCCTTTCCCGGACAAATTGTGGAAGCGCCAACCGCGGTTAAAATGGAAGAAGCCGGAGAGCGTCTGCGGCGACCTCTTGCGGACGCCGTGGTCGGAGCAGAGGGCGAGCCATGGTCTGGAGTCTGGACACGCACTTGAATCGGCATAGCGACCTGTAGGGCACCCGCGACAGGATCTCCTCCTGGCGGCATTGCGTCCGCTGGGTGATCGCCCTCGGCTTCGAACGTCGCATCGTAACGGTTTGGGAAGGGGAACCTCGCGTCTTGATCTAGTTCCTGTACCCTTTGTTTTAGACGTAAGTTCCTGCACACTTGATACTTGCCGATGCCGAATTGTTAGGCGGATCTATCTTTTCTTCAGATTCCCGCCGTGAACGGGCCGAAATCTCCAGTGTGCCTTTCACGGCCTGAATTTACTTTTTTTTTTGTGAGAACACGGCCTGAATTTACTGGAGACGTAGTAATCTTAATAGGGAGATGACATAATGCTGACACGACGACTCTCATAATCCAGATTCCTGTTCCTGAGCTGCTTTTGTTTTTACGGGACCTGTTCCTGAGCTGCTAGCAGAGTCAACCAGGATGGTCGTGGCCACAGTCCATCAGGTGACGACTCCGACAGCTACTTTGCCTCGCCTACATGGCGCGACCAAGGCCACGGTACGGTGACGTGAGTCGGATAAACATCTGGAAGATCATCACATCCTGGGCATCAACAAGGTTTGAACAAGTGCCCAGCTTAGTGGTTGGATGACAGACACATTATCGGTGTTCTACCAGCAATGGTTTTTGCCTGAACGACTCATGAATACGTCATGGATCACTGCCATGTCTTCCAGCCCATCCTAGCTGGTGGAAGGAACATTCTGGCTAATCAGGACCTGGTCTTTGTTAAGCAAAATTATATATGCGGTCGGTGAAAGGAAAACCCCAAGCTACAAACAGGGAGAGAAGCACAAGCATCCGGGCTTTGGATACAAACTACAGTTAGGCTGCAGTGCATCACAGGAAAACCTGGGTTGAACGGTTTTGTTTGGTTACTGCACGACTCACATATATCAAGCTATTGCCCATGTTTCCAATATCCCCTTCACATATACCATCCCCCTTCTCACTCAACTTGAGCTCCTTCCTCATCTGCTCAGCCTGCACGAGAACCTCCCTCCAATAGTCCAATGCGCTCCTGTTGTTACCAGACAAGACCATCTTGATCTCTTCTTTCCTCGACGCTTTTTTCCAGTAGTGTACTACCTGGAGCATCCATACAAAACAGAATTAGTCACTACAGTTGTATTGTAGTAAGTCTCATCCAGAAATTAGGCTAGTAGAGTGCATCGCAGAGACACACGCCAAAGGGCTCAAGGTCATAAGCCAGAAAACCCCACTTCCCGAGACCACGATTGACAGGGCAAAGCCCAACGCTCACCAGGCTACTGCAAGCGCAGAAGGTCAGCAGTGCTGCCTGTCCTCTGCTTGGTATCATCGAAGCTGTTTGGAAACATAAAATACCTACCTTGGTTTACACAGCACAATCCGACTTAGAAATAGTGTCCATAAGCTTGAGCCAGATCATAGCATGAACGACACATACACCTGCTATACTTACTGCACTTATCATACAATTTCCATTCCACCATAACTTATTGCCTTTAAACATCATAGACACCACAGCTGTATATGTTCATATACAGCTGCTATAATAACTAATACTACCTTTGAAGAATCCAAATACCCAGAGGTGCCGGATGAAATAAGACCAGAGGTGCCCAGACAAAGAACATCATGTTTCTGATGTGAGACCTAATATGCGAATTCATGTGGAAATGGAGGGAGTATATCTTGTATCTACAAGACTTTATATCCGATCAATAAAACATTTCACAAGTTTTGGCCTTTTGGACCGGGTTTTGGGTGGAGAACTGGAGCCCAAGCTACACCTGATTGCTTTCAATAAGTCGGTCTGTCCATGCTCAGGTCTTACTCCTAGACAGATCTAAATAAAGTTCCCAAAAGATCAACATAAGGCTGACCATACTCCCTACAAAATGCGACAAATATGAGCAGAGCATAAACTGTTTAATCATCTGAGGCCTCTTTGTGGTACAGCTCCCCGAGACATAACCCAAGCAAGAGGCATACTTCAGGCTGGACACATGCCTACGTGCAAGTCCCACGGCATCATGGTTTGTTCCAGGCTTCAACGACACATCCATGATGGACAATTCACTCCCTTGAATCCAGTCACCCTTCAAGTTCAACACCAAACAGTAAAAAGGGGAAATGGAACTCGATTCGCCCCATCAAGGGCGCAATCGGCATACAGCACGGTTTCAATGTGCCAAAAGGAACTACATGGGCGGAAACAGAAACATTGTATTTTTAAGTTCAAGCCATTATAAGCACCGCACTTCCCAAAAGGCCAGAACTAGTGGCTCCTTCAAAAATCTTATCAGGTTTTAACCACTCTTCGATAAAACCACAGCAGCAACATATTTGCTTTAAACGATAGTAGAAGACATGGCGAAATCCTCTCAGTGTACTCAGCCAGATTTTGCATACCCCAGGAGTCACATTCAATTATCTCTTGCACAAGTTGGGAGGAGGGATATTTCCAGTTTTCCATCAGTTCATCAAAACAGAGTGTCACTCGCAAAGTGATTTCGACACAGAAGTTGAGTTAATTATCTCTGAATTTAAAGTCACATTCAGTTAATCTCTTACCCTAGTTGGAAAGAGGGGCATTTCATCAGTTCATCAAGGCAGAGTGTCACTCACAAGAAGATTTGATTTTGACACAGGAGTTGCGTGTTAAGATGCTTAGTGACCACAACTCCATTAAGTCTACACATTGAATTCCTTTTTGTCGATCACACAAACACAATGCAACAGACAAATGCGATCATGAACTTGAAATACCTGACATGTTTACACCGCAAAGCATAGGCGAAACTTAACATGTTACTTAAACATTAACCCATGGAAGCCAAACATTCAGCACTGTATATCAGAGGCCTTCACCAGCCATCACAACTAAATACTCATACTTTTGAACTGGAATAAGCAATTCTTGCAAACCTGCTATGTAAATGACGAGCAAATGTTTGGCAACAAGAATAAATCTCACTGCCGCGGCCTCCTGCGGAGTATGAACACATCGGACTCCTCGAAGGCGTACTCCGGGTCGAGGTGCTCCCGGGACACCTTCTCGATCACGGGGAAGGCGGCGGGAACGGCGTCCCAGAACGCCTGGTGCGCCTCGGGGGACCGGATCTGGTACCCGAGGAGCACCACGCCGCGCTCGGCGTCGGCGAGCGCGTCCATGGCGGCGACGAGGTGGGGCACGGACTCCTGGACGTAGACGACGTCGGCGGCGACGACGAGGTCGTAGCGGCGCGGGGCGGCGAGCTGGGAGAGGTGCGCGGGGCAGTTCCAGTGGAGCTGCGCGAGGCGGGGCGCGCGCGGGAGGTGGCGGCGGTTGCGGCGGAGGTTCCGGCGGAGCGCCGGGAGGACGGCGGCGGTGTCGGTGAGCACGAGGTCGGCGAGGCCGAGGCGGGAGAGCCCCATGCCGGCGGGCCCGCATCCGGCGCCGAGCTCGATGGCGCGGGCACCCGCGAAGCGGAGCGCGTCGGCGAAGGGCAGAGCCGCGTCGCCGAGGCAGCGCTCGGCGAACTTGACGAGGACCAGGGAGGAGTTCCAGACCGAGGTGCCCACCTCGAAGGAGTCGTTGTCCTGCTCGAAGCTCAGCACCGCGCCGCCCACCGGCAGCTCCACCACCGGAGACGCCGTGAACCGCATCGCCGCCGCCGCCGCCCGTCAAGCCAGCCACGGAAGGGAAGGGTTTTACCTGGGCTCTCTGCTCTGTCCTCTGAGGAACTGTCCTTGGGTCCTAAAGGCTTAAGAGCCCTCGTGAAAGTGTATAATCATAAATAGACCCCTGATAATTTATACAGGACCCTCGGTGAACAAGTGAACACACATTTGTTCTTACGAAGACTATCAGGGGTTGAACTGCAAATCGAGACACACCGCCGAAGCCAGCGGAAACCCTCCCTCCGCTGCTCCCCTCCGATGGATCCCAAGGCGGCGGCGAGGTCGAAGCGCTCGCACACGGTGCACGGCCGCCGGACCCACCAGACCCCCGCGGCGGCCGCGGCGCACAAGCAGAAGCGCGCGGCTGCCGCCGCCGGCGGGGGCGGCGGCGGCTCCTCCTCCTCCGCCCCCCGCAGCCGCAACCTCCCCTCCAACTGGGACCGCTTCGAGGAAGAACCCGAGGCCGACGACGCCGCGGAATGGGCCGGCGAGGTGGCGCCGCGGAGCAAGGGCGCCGACTTCGCCTTCCTGCTCGAGCAGGCCCGGGCCCAGCCCCTCGAGGAGCGGGGCCTCGGCGCGGCCAGCCGGCTCGCCTCCCAGGACTCCCCATTTGGTGAGCTCTCGCCGCCAGCTTCGGCTGCCACTTCTGATTTATTTTCAGCATCTTTTGCCGCTGTTTGTTCATTGAGTAAGCTTATTCAGTTCGTCGCTTCAAACATGCTTAGGTCAATTGTGCGATCCTTCCTCTAAATACGCCTAGATTTGTAGTGCGAACACTTGCTAAAGTAAGGAATGCTTTGTTAGTTTGTTCCTATTCATGTTAACGGCGGCGCCAAGTTAGAATCGAGTACATCAAACATCACAAGGCATCCTCTGCATTTCAGTAGTAATTACGGTGCTCTTGTTAGGACTGGGATTAAGAAGATGCCCGACAGATTGATTATGTGCAGTGTTGAAAATTCCAACAATATCGTGCCTGATACTCACCCTCTGTTTCATAGTTTTTCTGTAAATTGAGTGTGGATTATGTTATTTACCTCCCTCTGTTCATTGAGCAAGCTTATTCAGTTCGTCGCTTCAATCATGTTTAGGTCAATTAGGTGATCCGTGCTATCATTGCTTCAAATATGACTTAATCTGTGCTGCCAATGCTAATGTAAAATATGTTCTGTTCCTAATCGTGTTAATACCGAGACTTAGAATCGAGTGCATCAAACATCACAAGGTATACTTTGCATTTCATCATTAGCTACTGTGTTATTATAAGGGCTGGAATTGAGCATATATCCCTTGATTGATTTGGACTCATATTAAAAATTCCCTACCACAGTGAGTTAACACATAATGTTGGCAAAATTGATATGTGGATTCTGTTTTTACGCGCTGAACATAGCACCACATGTTCATTAGGATGTGGCCCATTGTTTATGAGACTGCTTTTATTGTAGTGGTGCTAAGACTTTCATTTATGTTTCCTTTTCTAGATTTTATGCAGGCTTCTACATCTATGCTTGAGGCTAAAGGGGAAGGGATCATGTCCTGGTTTGAAGACGATAATTTCATATTAGAGGATGATTTAGCACCAGATTTTGAGGTACAGATCTGCTACTTTGCTATATCATGTTTGTGAAATGTATTATTTTACGCAATCTACAACCTGGTTTGATGCTTGTTTGGATAGGTGATGTTTAGGTCCAATCCCTGCCTTTCTACACAAGCGTTGGGTTTGATATTGTGTTAAAATTGGTATAGATAATTTTCTGGGAGCAATATTTTGTTCAAAAATGCATGGGATTCTGGCAGGAGTTGCCCTTGGTCCCTTCCTTGTCTGAGCATCCTGTCAAAGTTTATGGAAGGAAAATGTGTTTGGATCAAATAGTCAATATTAGCGTATTAGATTGTTGAACAGAAAAGGATATGAAGTAATGTAGAACTTTATTTGGATTGGTGGACCCTTGTGGTTTTTTACTTACGATCTTCTAATTTCAGGTGCCTTTTCTCTCCATGGATCTCCATGCATTGGCCACCAAGCTCTCAAAGATTAAGCTCTCCCAGAGACTTTTTATGGAAGAAGATTTACTACCCGAGGATCTGGTACTACATTCTGTTCTATTGCTACCGTGTCCAGCTTCGCAGATGTTATAAATATTGAATCATGGAAGAGTACTAAGATTGCCTTCTTTTAGTAAAAACAGTACTGCAATTTCTGTTTCCAGTTGCTAAATTTGTTTCGTATTGGTACTTTCCTTTCAGTTGGTAGTTTCCAGTTTTATAATAACCTCTGAGGTTAATTTTGACAAATGGCAATGAAGTAAATTAATTGTGGTAGATTTTGGCATTAGGTGCAGCAAGTTTGCTGATAGATAGAGTAGTTTATCTCACATGTAATATATTATGAGGTGTAAACGAATTGATGATTTGGTAGATTTTGGAGAGGTCCATCTTATATTCAATGAAAATGGATGATAAACTCTAATCCAATCTGTACACGAAGAAACCTTCAATCTAAATTCATATTTCCTGACGAACACTACCATAAACATATGCATTTGGTATGCAAACCTTATCAATTGCTGCAATCTAAATATTTATGTGCACTTTCGCAAACCATCTAGCTAACCCATCTGCCTTGTTATGCTACCATTTTCTCCGCTGATCTACCAATTTTCTGCAACAAGGATAGGGTGCTTCAGCATCTGACCTTTTGGCTATTCTGGCCACTGCTTGTTGCTGCATTCACTATCACGGCAATTTCCTGCACTACATACTCTGTCGCTAATTGAAGCAATAAAATTTATATAAGCTTCTGTATTATTCCGATGATGTTATTTTCATTGGAGGAGCACGTTTGTTCCTTTCATTGGAGCAGTACCCACCCATAATGATTATATAGGGCAATGAGTTTGAGTGGACATTTTATCCCTATTTCACTGTTTGGCCGATTACACTTGGATGATTAAACCCTCCGCCCTTAATTTGTCGTCTATATGGTTCATACAGTATTGAGATAAAGCTGCTGTTGACCTGTTGAGGTGCTCATCTGAGCCATCAAGGCATCAATATTGATGCATGTGTCTATAAGGTCCTAATTCCAGGAGCCAGGACCCCGAAGTTGTATGCATGTGCCTATTTTATAAATATTGAGTTGGTGACATTATGATCTTGTATGCTAAACATGGATGTATGCTTAAGACTCTTTCAAAGCCGTTCAGCTTAACTTGATATCCATCTGTTCATCTGATTTCTCCTAAGCCGATTCATCTTGTTATTCCCTAGGCTGTTGCTTCTGAAGACGAAGATGATGAAATACTGATTCAGTTGGGCACAACATTGGAGTCTGATGCTAAAGGCAGTTTGGTTCAACATAACTTCAGGGACATAAAGCCTGGGAAAGATGCTGTTAGTCCTGACCATGCCAGCAACATTCATTCTGATGACCCAATGAAAACACATCATCAGTCGGAATGTTTTGCAGAAGAAGAAGCTACAACATCACTCAAAGTTATTCCTCGACCTATGCATTCAGACACTGAAGCCTACACAGGAATCACAGCTACTGTTCCAAATGCAGGGCATAGAGAACAGTCGAAGCTTGGGATGGTTGCTCCAGAGGAAGAGCTTGATATGCTTCTTAATTCACTCGATGGAACTCACCTTTCCAGCTCCAGCTTAGATGAGTCGTTTGGAAGTAGTTCTGCTTTGGTAGGTATGAAGATCAATGAGTCAAATGATAAAGTCACGTCTAGCAGCACCACGTCCAAATCGCTGGCACTTTCTCCTGTTGATGATGATCTAGATGCCTTGCTTTCAGAGACATGCTTATCTGTCCAGAATGATGGTTCTGCTGCATCAAGTTTATCTTCTCGCCCAACTTTTGACTCCAACAGCAACGTTGACTTCAGATATGCCAAGCAGATTGATGTAACATCTATCGATGATTCTGTGGATGATTTGCTTGCCAACACCCCTTTCTGCCTGAGTGACCAGAAACAAGCTACACCTGTACAGGGGCAACAGAACATCTCGAATGCCAACGCACCTCCACCTTCTGGATCCTCGAACGTATCGGCTGACTTTGATTTGTGGTTTGACTCACTGTAGAGGTAGAAGAAACACTTTCGATCGTGAAGAGGTGCCAGTTGGCTTTAGGGGCCTACTGTGCTTTTGTTCAGTTCATGAAACTAAGTAGCAAACCTTTTTGGAAAGCTGTCTTCAGAAGCTCCCATATATATACCCGTCAATGTGGAGGTCCATGGAAATGCAGAAATGGATACCCATGCGCTTCACTCGCCGGCTCGTGTCAGTTCGGTGCTAGGCCTGTGTTATGTTGCATTATTGCCATACTGATCATGAGTCCAGAAGGCTGGCTGCTGTTAAATCTATAGCTGTCGATCTGTACCTTCGTGACCTGTACTCAGTCACATCTTTGTAGTACGTTGCACCCTTAATTTGTTGATTTAACAGAGTAATGCAAACACTTCAGTCTTTCTGTTTTGTTCCCTGTATGTACTTTTCTGTTGCATGCCCACTCCCCTCCTGATTACATTTATTCTGGGGAAATGTTGATATCGGCAAGTTTGTTGAGTTTGGTCACTGATTTGTACACCTGATCCCTCTTGAGCTCGAAGGCTTCAGATGGATTCAGATAACTCAAGTGCGAAGCCTGCAACAGTCGCTGCTTCTGAACACCATTGTCTGGTTCAGTTGTTTCCCTTTATGATCTGCAAAGGATCAAGCATACCACCCACCTCAAAGGACCAAGAACACCGCAATTCAGCTGATTCAAGGACTCTAAAGTGCCAGATGTTCGCGGCGAAGGTACGGCATCCGAACCCCCTTCACCTCCCTCGCCATGGAGAAACCAACCGCTGTGGTCCAAACAAAGCCTTTTCTTCTTCATGGTGGTATCTTCTGCTTGATCTGGACAGAGAGGTGCGCTCATCCGTGCAAAGGTTCCATTCGTTTTGATTGACATCACATGTTGT